TTAGGTGACTCTGGAGAACCAAGCCTTCTTGCCCAGGTCCCACCTGTGGCAGTGTCAGCCTCTCCCACCTGTGAGAGGCCAAATCTTTTAAATTCAGACTCCATTTTAGAGAACCTGAACTCAGGCAAACTAACAGACCAGCAGCTAGCATTACTTTCCAAGTTACCTCCCAACAAAACCAGAGCCTAGCTCAGTCTCTAGACTAATCCCCAACAGGACCTGTGTCTCCAGGTTACACCTCCAACAAACCTGCACTCCCAAGTTACAAGCCCATCCCCTGTCTAATGACCACCAGTGCAGAGGGAAGCAGAAATTTAGGTTTATGATATGACTCCCAGCACCAGCTAATTATGTTAAGGCCATAGAAACTTTCCAATTAGATGCTTCACACTCACCCCCCCACTTGCTGCTTACTATAAAGCCTTGCTCCATAGATATTCGGGGCTCCTCATCACCGAAAACATCCTGCACGATGCAGTGTGCTGGCCTCAGCTAGCTCTAATAAAAAGTCCCTACTGTGATTGCATCGGATCTACTCCTGTCTGGTTTTGGGGGATTGCTAACATTTCCCTGGCACTATACCTGGAAGATCCCATATTTGCACTGGGAGCTTGGTGTCACTGTCTGTGTTAGTTACTGTGGTCCTTTGAATAAGATGACCCCCATAGTCTCAGTCATTTGAATACTTAGTTCCCAGTTGTTACTGTTTGGGGAAGCTTAGGAGGTGTGGCCTTGCTGGAGGAAGTATGTCACTGGGGATGGGAGGCATGGTTGGAGGTGTGAGCTCTCAGCTGTTCCTGCTGCCATGCCTGGTGTTTGCTGTCATGATGTTGATGGACTCTTAACTCTTTGGGTCCCTAATCCCCAGATAAACCTTCTGTAAGTTTCCTTGGACATGATGTTTTATCACAGCAATAGAAACGTATCCAATACAGTTCCATTTTTCATCACTGTGGCTTAATATCTGACAAGACACATTTAGGGAGAAAGGATTTATCCTGGTTTCTTGTAGTCTCTAATGCTAAATCCGTCAAAGTGGCAGCAGGCCCTTTCTTCCTGATCCACCTATGGGCCACCTCAGTAAAATGTCCCACAGGAGCTGTCCAAAACGAGGGCTCCTGTTAAAATGGCGGATCCACTACATCTCCTCAGCCTGCAGGTGTCACAGGAGCTGTCCATGGTGGTAAAACCTCTCCAATCCCCTCCCGTCCCCTGCAGTCCCACAGAAATGACATCTCAGCAAAAGTCAGCCGCATCTGGGAAGGACTTCCTACTCTAACCCATGGGCCCGATGCCAGGGAAAAGGTGGTGAAAAAAAGCTAGCAATCCCTGAGCAGAAAAATCACATTCCAGTGACATGGCTTTCTCAGCTTGGAAGAGCTTCTATGGCAGGAGCTCCGGGTAAGTGATGGGGATTTCCTTTTTGGGCTTGGAGGAACACCAGAAGCATCTGGCAGGACACAGGTAAAACAGAAATCCAGGAAAGACAGGAAGCACTTTTGGGTTTGGAGGAACTCAACAGAAAGGCAGACCAGCTTGGTAGATTGACACACAGAGAGATTTCTGAAGAGCTGGCAGTTTAGTTGTAGAATCAGGCTTGTAATAGATATCTCCTATACAGTTAAGAAAATAAAGTTTCTTCACTGAGCTGGAAGGTTTTTACCTCAGTTTAAGGCTCCGCTGTCTTTTTTTTTTTCCCGAGACAGGGTTTCTCTGTGTAGCCCTGGCTGTCCTGGAACTCACTCTGTAGACCAGGCTGGCCTCGAACTCAGTAATCCGCCTGCCTCTGCCCCCCAAGTGCTGGGATTAAAGGCGTGGGCCACCACCACCCGGCCCCTGCTGTCTTTAGTGCTATAAATATTAGGTTATTTAAATGGTTACAGGCCTATGAGCAGGACTTTTGTCTCCTGGAATACAGAGTCATCCACAATGCAGAGCCACAACAGGCTTATGAAGAGGACTTTAAGACAGACTATGCTGAATACAGCATCCTTCAAGCCCAAGTCAGGGCTGCAAGCCACAGGTTCACTGAGCTGGGAACAGAGATTAAGAGACTTCAAGGAATTTACTCCAGAACACAAGCTGCTAAAAAATAACATAATCCAGGAGTATGAAAGGTTCAGGGGGCGGTACCCAAGTTACAGAAAGAGAAGCATCCCTGTTCTGGAAGTGGAGACTTCTGGCTTCTTTGGAAAGTCAGTTATGTCAAATGATGTTTTATAAGCAGACACAGGAGAAATGATGTTTTGCTGAAGCAGACACGTGAAAGGACACATGGTGTTTAGAAGGAATATAAATAAAACCAGCAGAAAGTATCCGAGGCTGCATGGTATTGGTAAGCCTTACCATTGTTTATTGGTCATTGTTTCTCGTGACTCCATAGAGAGAAATGCACCAAAAATCTTCTGGTGATGTTCTGGCAGCTTCTTGCTGCTTCTGCAGAGTTGGGCTGATTGGCAGAGTGAAGTGGAAGTTTCTGATACAGACTCAAGTGGAGTTTTGCTAAGACAGACTCTTGTGGTGTTTTGCTGAAGCAAGACTCATGTGAGGACGGGTGATGTTTGGAAGGAGTATAACAGGACACAGTGGACAGTGATGGCAGGCTTGCATAGCTGGCTTTGCAATGCTAAATTGGTTTCCTGTCTTCATCTTTGCTGATCTTCGCTTTGTTGAGAGAGTCATGGCAGAGAACTTCTCCTGGTGTCCCTGCTGATCCTGGTCATTCTTACTGACTCATGCTGATTCAGTGGAGGCCTGGCTGTTTCTCCTGGGTTGTGCCCCAGCTGATGATTCGTGTCTGCTATCCTGACACTACTGACCTGAACTGCTGGTATCCTGTCAGTTGGAGATTGAAATTGCCCCAAGGAACTACTTCTAAACAGCAAACAGCTGAGACTCCTGGCTTCTTCTGGATCAAACTGCAGTTGCTGAATCTTGGGAACTGAACTGCTGATATCCTGACAACACAAACTGGATTTGATCCAAAGAACCATTTCTAAACAGGTCTGCTTCCCCCCTATCCTAATAACCTTTCTTTTCCACTACTTCCTGTGGGTGGTGGGCTTGAAGAGAGGTTAAACATTTAAGAACCCCTACTAAAAATAGGTTTTGAAAAATCTAAGCCCTCTCTTTCTCCCTTGATCTTTTGCCAGCAGGTCCTTCTCTGCCCCTTGCCCCTCCCCCTTTCCCTTCCCCCTCTCTCTACATGGTCATGGCTGACCTGTCTCTATCTCTCTGCTCTCTCTCTCTCTCTCTCTCTCTCTCTCTCTCGCTCTCTGCCTCTACTACCCTCCTGACTCCCCTCCCCATGCCCTGAATAAACTCTATTCTATGCTAAAAAAAAAAAAAAAGAAAGAAAGAAAAAGAAAAAATAGAAAGAAAAATCTAAGCCAATAATCAGATGTGGATTTGCTCCTGAGAGTTCAACAGAAAAAGACATCCTGTACCTGAGAATCCTGTAAAAGACACTGGAAAGAAGCAGAAATCACCAGAGTAGCATGGCTACAGGGAGAGCCCAGGGCAGCACAAGACTGCATCATTAGTAGCTAAAACAAATGGAAGGGAGGAAATGTAGTGACTTATTTTGTGCACCCAGCACATCGAAGGATCCCCACTGGGGTCTCTGATCTTTATCTCTGGAGACACAGAATCCTGGGAACAGGACCAGGCTCAGGGTCTCAGGTATAGGATATGATCTGTCTGTTCATCTCTCATCCCTGTGTCCTTGTGATCACAGACTCTCAGCATGTGCTTCATAGTGATGGAGAGAACAGAGTCCTGTGGTGACACAGCCCAGGAGTGACCCCATCAAAGATCACAATGGACTGAGCACACCTGTGCACAGCCTCATCCTATCCCAAGAGATACACACAGTATAGTGACACAGATTCTGGAAGGTTCTCCATCTGGCATTTATTTCTTAAAAACAAAAAAACCAAAACAAAACAAAAAAAACCTCTAAGTATTCTCAAGCCATCAATTTAACAAGCAATCAACCCTCAGGTCAAGATGTTAACAATCAAGTTCACATTCAGATTCTTATTCTCAGTGTGGAAGTGAGGAGCTGCAGCTCAGGGCAGCATGGAGCTGACAGGAAGCAGATGTCCCCAGTGTTTGGCTGGACCAGGAAGGTTGGCTGTGGAAGGGAACACAGGCAGTGCAGGGACAGGGTGCTGGTGTGCAGGGCAGGCTGGGCTCCACAGTTCTTCACATTGAGCCCACAGGATCACCGGGAACATCAGACACTGTTGTCTAAATAAACCTGACGGCTCTGGACGTCACAGGAGAGACCTGAACACACTGTCTGTCACGCAGTCCACTCCAGGCTGCTGTCTTCATGCTAGAGAATGAGAGTCATGAACCATCACTGTGAAGTCAACATTCCAACAACCCACCACTCACATGGGATTCTGGGAGTCCCTGAAACCCAATCATGTCCACATTGCCCCTCCCCAGTCAGGCCCCAGAGTGTCACCTTGACAATCTGGGAGAGACATATCAGAGCTCTGGGAGCTGTCCTTGCCTAGGGTAAAACAAGACAAATTTATATGTATGTGTATGTGTATGTATTCATATCAAGGTACAAATGAGACCTACAGAAGGTTTCTCTGGAGTAGCTATTATGGATTCCCAGAGCTCCCATCATCCCCAGCTTCACTCCAATGGCTGTGGGACAATCCTGTCCCCCTCACTAACCTGCAGCTGGAGAATAGTTCCCTCCTTTTCCACCTGTGAAAAGAAAAGCTATGAAAGTTCAAGGAAGATCTTGACACTAGAAGGTTCCAGAACTGACAGCAGACCCAGTTGGAGACAGTAGCAATGCAGGGTGTGGCTGTGTTTCCCATTAATGAGCAGAGCACACTTCTAAGGGAGGCTGAGAGAAAACTCAGACCCTGCCCTTTCCTACCTGTGTTTCTCCTCCTCTTCATCACAAAAGCCACCACAGCTCCAATGATGGCCATAGCAAGGACAACCAGAACAGCAAGGATTATCATGTTTGAATTGGTGGATGAAGGAGGCTCTGGGAAGGACAGGGACAGGAAACAAAGTGAAGGTCATGACCCCAGATCTCAGCCCTGACGAGCTCAGGGTCTGCAGAAGGCTCCAGCTTTCCCTGACCCCAGCTCTGCACCCACACCCTCCTTACCCCATCTCAGGGTGAGGGGCTTAGGCAGACCCTCATGTTGCACATGGCAAGTGTAATCCTTCTCCTTCCCAAGAGGCACCACCACAGATGCCCACTTCTGGAAGGTTCCATCCCCTGAAGGCCTGGTCTGCACAAGCTCCATGTCCTGGGTCAGCTCCTCCCCATTCAACTGCCAGGTCAGGGTGATGTCAGCAGGGTAGAAGCCCAGGGCCCAGCACCTCAGGGTGACTTCACCTTCAGATCTGGGGTCATGGGTCACATGTGCCTTTGGGGGATCTGTGTGGAAGATTTAATAAATCCCACAATTAACTAGACAAACTGAAATCTACACAAGATACAGTTAAATCAATGATGACACTGAACTATGTGTCTGACACTTCAACTGTCATTGCACAAGTGACCAGAAGGTGGCACTGGTCCCCTCAGTACATAACTGCACATTTCCCCTGGGGGCTCAGAAGCTAAGAGGGAATCCACATGAGCCAGTGGGTCAGCATGGCCGTCCTTATGTGATGTTCTATTGCATGAGACAGGTAGTCAAAGAATGACAAATAAAATGGAAAATAAGTAATTTATCATGTGTTTGAGTTCATATCTATATTAGAAATTAGGGCCATATGCTACTGGAAGGGTGCCACCACTGAGAGTCAACCACTGTTGTCGTCTGCCTTATCAGTATAACTGTCAGTCCAAGTGAACACCCATCCCAAAGTGTGTAGCAGAAATGTGGTGAACCTCTGACACTCAGCCAGAGAAAATGTCTCCCAGCCCCTGCCTCTGGACCACAAGATACAGGTCTGTTACACAGGATCCCTGGAGTGTGCTGTGGACCCCAGTGCAGCACTCACTGGAACACAGCGGGCTCACAGGGTGTGTGGATCTTCCCTCTCACTCCAGCTCTGGATTGCAGAAGACTCTGTCTCTCAGAAAGTCCCATTTCTTTTCACTAGGGGGAGCACTGTAACTTGTGGGGGCAGAGGAAGAGCAGGAGGCTTCTGGATGTTTAGTTCTGACAGGAAACAGTCTAAGTTCACAAGAATCTCTCCTTTAATGAGAACCCTGATTTAACTTCTCTAATTATCCAGGTTAGCAATCTCCGTGGCACCTGTGGAGACTGATACAAACGATAATACAAGGGCATGGAGAAACAGGATCACTCCAGTGCAGACAAAAACTGACCAGAAGCAAAAATGCCTTAAAAAAAAAAGTAAAGCAAAGAGAAAGTAAGAAAGAATGAAAAGGAAAAACAAAAGAGAAAAAAAAAAGAAATCCCACAACTTAGTATTTCTGCAGGGTACCCCAATGAGGGCTCATGTGACCTTCACCACTCTAGGAATAGATGGAATTGGGTTGTTGAAGTGATGCAAACCCCACAGACAGGGAGGGATGCGAGAATGTATTCTTTGGAAAGTTCTAGAATCTGGGGAACCAGCCTAGTGTAGGGAGCCCATGTCTCCCATCAGGTAAAGGAGACTTCCGGTCCTGATGTGTAAGGGCTGACACACTCAGCATGACAGGAGTCAGTGTTCACAGACAGTGGGTGTGGACAGAGAACCTGGCCTGGGAGAGGCCATGGCTGACAGAGGCTACAATCTGACTGAAGGGAGCCGCCATTGTTAAGTTGGGGGAAATTGTCTCCTTCCCTCCTGAGACAGACTGGGAACTGTCCAGGGAGAAGGCTGACCCTGGGAGAGTCAGTGCAGTCACTGTGATGAGGATCAGGAGACCCAGGGACACTCTCTCCCCTCTGAGACAGGGGCATCACCCCAGCTGAGGGTTTCTTCTTCCCCAGGACTGAGCCCCAGCCCGAGGGCAGAGGGAGGA